TGATTGAATTTGATCATTTGGTCATAAGAAGGTAGGCATTGTGATGGCATAAGCCAGTTTACGAATTATCGGTTGCAAAACCGTAACGTTAAATGCACTTTCTGCGATGTAAATTTTTGATGCGTTCATTAATATTCTACCTTTAATAAGCTTTAGGGAAACGATATAGTGTTACTTCATCTACAATTTCTTCAGGGAAGTACCTACCTAAATATCTGTGAGGTTTATAAAGCATTTCTTTTCTTGACAAAATTGTACTGTATTTTGTAGTAATAATTTTTTGCAATTCCGCTTACCAATTGAATAGGAGTGAAATGGCAGTAACAAGGCGGCAAATGGAGTACTGAATGGCTATAGTCATGTGCTATTTCATGAATGATAACTGGTTTATAATTGTCTACCAGTTGAAACATTGGTTTATGCAAAGATATACAGTGCATTCGAGATAAGAGGGTCACCTCAATATCTCTTTTATTTGACGAGATACGAAATTTTAGTCAAATGTAATTTTATATGTGCATTACGATCTATCGGATCGCATATTGAAACTTCACGTACCACTTCCGGTTTAATCTGAAATCGATGCAACTTTTGTTTTTCAAATGCAATGTCTACGTTTTTTTAAGATCATTGAAAAAAACAATCAATTTGCTGTACGGCCTAAAATATGCACACGGTTGATTGTGCTGATTTTTTTTTTAATTGTTTTTTTTAATTATTATTTAAAATCAGAATCAGAATCCCTTCAGAGAGGGAAGGGAGGGGGGGGATAATAATTTCTATTATTTAAACAATATGTATCCGTTTTGTGTAAGAAATTTTTTAAGAATTAAAAAGAATGTTTTTTTCGTGTTGTCTATCCGTCTGTTCGTTCGTCCGTCCGCTTTAGTATACACTGTTATTCATTTAGAAGTAGATATAGGGATTTCCTATGTCTACTTTTAAATGATAAAAATGTTTCTGAAGGACGACTAATTTTATGTAACCGAAATAACATGCGCACGCATGGCATTATCATTCTAGATTCTAATACAAACAACAGTAAATGTATGCTTTCAGGTTATGATGAAGAGATATTAAATTCGGCCGCTATTTCCCTTTAAGTTTCTTATGGGATTCTCTTCCAAAAAAAATAAAACATTCACTTTCATATCCTCCGTTAAAATTGACGGTTGTTTACGGTGTTTTATGCGGATCGCATTTAAATAACCACTAATTTTAAAGTGATCAACAGAAAATAAGTCTCTTACGCCCCTTAAACTATTACCGGCACTATACCAATTGAGTATTACTTACTATACTTCAGTAAACGAGGCAAGCTTGCTCATTTTAAATTTATCCTGAGTAAGTGTGGTGTCTCACTATGCGTTTTTATCGCTCCTGAAAACGCTCCTGTTTGATGAATTTGAATGTAGCAGGAGCTACTTTTTCTCCACCGGAAAAACGACCTTCAAAATACGTCTCGATTGAAGATAAACCGACAATTTTGAATACCTTCAAAGCTTATTCTCAAGACAACCCAGAAAACTCGACAACAGAAAAATTAGAGTTTACCACAGATGCAGCAGGTATTATTCGTTTTTGTAGACATAAAGACTTACTTACATACATCTTACCCAAGGTGTGAGTGTCGCGAGGGTTTACAAGATTCTTCAAGAATATAAATCGACCCACAAACTTCACGCACCTGAAGTCACAGCCCGAGTGCAATTTTGGACAACATCGATGTTGGAACTAAAAGTGTTCTCAGACGTTTGATCCATTCTTTTTTGAGAGAAGTAAAGCGCCCACATTGAATACCAACAGCCAACAGATTATAAAATTCGAAATTAAAAAATGCCATAAATCGCTATTAACGAAGTTTTATTTGAATTTACTGTATGTGTTGCCAATAAAATGCTACTGTATCTATCAAACAGCAACATAATTACAACGCGCAACATTCCTGTTTATTCAAGGACTTGTATGAATACATATATTGAGGGTAAACGTTTGGTAGATTACACATTTTCTCTTGGCTTCATCGTTAATATGAGGATGAAGAGGAATGTCTGTAATAAAGTGAAAACTTTTAGCAAGCTCTACCGTGCTTTGGAATTACAATGCGCCTACCAACAATATACTAAGGTTTTAATTAGGGTTCGTTATTTGTAAGTACTCTCAATATTACCCACTCTTACGAAACGAAACGTTATTAATTTTGTTGTACAACTGAAAACTTTAATAACATATTAAACTAAAATCAAAGCCATGCGAGGAAGAAATTAATTTCTCATAGGGTGGTCTATTATCCTATTATCCCTCTTATAATGTTTCCTACCCCACTTGGATTATTCATTCATAAAATTTTCTAGCATTTCAGTATAAGTGACTAGTGAAATATAGGCAAAATTTACAATCTTCAGATTCATCAACATCAAAGATAATTTTTGAGACTACCTATATCCTCTAATCCTAATCAATCAATTTATCACAGTAACGTTTGTTGTTGCTCGGTCGGTCGCCATAATGGTTATATAGTCTCTATCAATGAATATTGAACGTACCAAAACCCTCTTAATTTTGTTACTTTTCTTTCCACAGCGACATGACAACCTGCCTCGTAATGTTCTTGCTTTCTTCATCTTGTTCAACGATTACACTCCTTTCAAGTTCTCCCAAACTACCAAAACTTCCAAAATATGTTTTCTCTCCCATTAAAATTTAATTATGACGTATTGCCATTTCGTTCGAATCCGAAAATTGAATCCATTTTCGGCGATAATTAGCGAATTGATTGATTTATTTTTGAGAATTGAAGGAATTTGCGACAATAGGTCAAATATCAACATTAATTAATTAATTCACCTGAAAGAATTTCAATTACTGTCTACTATACACCTTCATTCGGCAATTTTCTGAAAATTAAAGCCATTTGCGGTAGTTACAAAATACATTTAATTTATTACATTAATCCACCTGAAGTAATGCTGTTAGGACCACTGATTGCAGCTTTGAAAGACCTCTGCAAACTTTGAAGCACTCGAAAAATTGTTTTGTTTTTTTAATATAAGTTCTAAACTGTGCGTTTTATTAAAAAACGATATTTGCTACAATTTGAGACCAGAACCAACCCTGTAGGTTCAATATTTACCAAGATTCAGCCCTCCAAAAATGGAATATTTTATTTTCCAAAAAAGTGAAATTTTGAGGTTTGGTCATTTTTCGACCCCAATATCTAGGAAAATACTCCTTGAACGCGAAAAGTTATGGGAAAAATGTGGAAAATGTAATTAGCTTTAATTTAAGCACATAATGACGTGGGTAGATCATATAGTTTAAGTACTTATGAATCTTAAACATTCAAAAAACAGGAAAACAGCATTTTTCGCAAATTTGCTCTGCTTTCTTCTCACAATGGTTTAAAAGTGGTTGGAAAGAAGAAACTATACTCGTATACATCCAAACGAAATATTTAAACTACATATTAGTAATTGGTAGCTATCCATCTTATAACGACTCAAAACGGGGTGATAGTGAATAAGTAGATTGATAAAAGACACTAAACCTTCCCCATACTTCTTTTTATTATTTCCGGTAGTTAAAATAAAGGCATAAGGTGACAGCGACTATAGTTTCGACCCGAAGGTCATTATCAAGCTTAAATTTACGAGAACATGTAAAAGTGGTTGAAAAGTTACAATTTAAAAGAGTACATTTTGGTTATCCGTATGAGGAAAAATTGCTAATTTATGACATGGGAAACAATAACAATTTTTAACAATTTAAAGACTTCTGTCCTCACATTATCTAAGTACAATTAATTAATACAATATCGAAATTAGAGGAGACGAGATGGACACAGCCATCTTGAAACGAAATGTGAAAAATCTCGCCATCTCGTCTCCTCTAATTGTCTACGTCTTCTTCTCCTTCCTCGGCAATTTGAAGCTCAGCGATGTTATGGCGACACCGGAGCAAAATTTGCAGAGTTCTGAGCATTTGAGCCTTGCCTTTACGCAGGTACAGCCTTTCTTGCAACCGCTTGATAAAAATTTCAGAAGGTAGGGGTGTGCCACTTCGCTCATCATTGTTGTTGGAATGAGCCCCTGTTGGGTGGAAAACGGGCGGCGGTCTTTGCAAGTTGCTTGTAGCGTAAGCTGTTGTGCAATCTTCGAGGCATTCTTCGAAATTAAAAAGCTTACGTTTTGTACAAGCGCCATCTTTCGGTAACGAATTGATATGCAATTTTGATAAGTCAAATACAATGAAAATTAACCGCTCTACAAACAATTATAGAACTGCTATTGCCGTAGGACGTAAGGGAAAAAAGTTATCGATGAAAAACCGGAGAAAGGTTAAACATTTTGTATCCCCCCCCCCCTCCTCTTTTCGCACAAGGTCCAAAACGTGATAAAATGGTAAATAGCCATTCCCGAACAACATCCCAAAGTTTCTTTAACTTCCGACCTTTTTCCAACCAATCGACTGAACTATTCTTGGGCTTTCTTATATTTACCTAAATCAATTTATAATAATTTCATTTTTATGTTGACATAATTCTTCTAATCGCTTAAATATTTTTAGACAGAACACCAACTGGTTCTTAAATCGAGAGAGTGATGTTTCCTATTCAAATAAGGGAGTGACGCTTTCGAAGTGAAGGATATACCCCATTTGGTCACTACGGAAGTGAGTCTATACGAGCCTCCTGAATATGATTGTTAACACAAATTAAAATATGTATAGTAGGAATATGACGATTAAACCACATAGTAAAAGACAACAATTCCTTAAGTTAAATTTGATGGCGTGGGTGAGAGTCTTATCTTCCAATAAACTGAATTTACAGAAAATACAACCAATTCAAATAAACTTCCCTTCAGTCAACATAGAAATAGTTCGCCTTTGTAGGTAGCTTCCAAAGGATGCAATAAAATAATATACATAGTCCTGAGATTGTTAAAACGCGAAAACTCTTGAAAATAGTATAATTAAAACGAATCCTTCTTTATTTACAGAACCAATAACAGAAATCTTGGGTGGTCCAGATCTATTTATTAATCAAGGATCAACAATAAATTTAACTTGTCTGGTGCAATACGCGCCCGAGCCGCCGCCAATTATGTTGTGGTCGCATAACTCAGTTCCCATCAATTTCGATTCTCCGAGAGGGGGAATTAGTTTAGTTACTGAAAAAGGACCTACGACAACAAGTCGTCTACTAATTCAAAAGGCGGCACAAACGGACTCGGGGACGTACACCTGCACGCCATCCAATGCCAATCCGGGAAACGCCCGGGTGCACATACTTAATGGTGAGTAAAGAACTTTTCTAGCAAAATTTAAATAAATTTACGTTATAATTGAGATTGTTAACTGCAGTCTGAAAAATTACCCGACCTGAAGCACTTCGTCACATTACAACTATTCTAGGCTCGTTCGCCTTTTGCTTTTAGAATTTAATAAAAACTTTATGTATTTTGTCGCTATTCTTTGAAGTGTTGACAGGACATAAAAGAAAATTTAATAATGTAGAGAAAAGTTGTTGAATCTTACGGAACTCTCCACACTCTACACCATTATAACTTGACAGAGACTCGCATTCTGTAGAATGTTTGAAATTCATAGTTCTATATGCAGTGCACCTGGTCACTGCTCCCTTTAAAGTTAAAAAGTTTTTCTTTTTGAAGTGTACTTGTCGGCAGGTGGCGATTTTTAAGCAACAAACAATTTCGTGATATAAACTTTAGTTTACATGTACCAGAATTTTTACCTACAGTGTGACATTTTCGCGGTTAAGAAGTAGCTCTATAAACTAATACGCTTCTTATTCTAGTTCGTTTCCCTTTTCAAATGCAACATAGTAGGGACAAGAAGTGGGTACTCTTTGGTAGGGATATCGGATTTAAAGGACTTATTTGCATATTGAATGCAATTCATTAATAATCACGTAGCGATGATTTTCGTGATTCGCAGTAGCTACTTAGTCCTGAAAAATTCGAGGGACAATGTGTAATGAAGATGCGGATATTTCTGACCATTTTGAAGCATCTCTATCATGGTCCTAAATATTTGTTTACTTAAAGATGATTATACAAGGGGACAAGGGGTTGTGAACAGAAATTATCAATTCAGTTGATTATCTTTATAACAGAAGTTTTTTTATATAAGAGGACATCTTGTTTACAGTATGTAACAGTAATATTTGTGCTTGTTATGTTCAAATCTTCAATTAAAACCAAAGAAAATGGAAGGAAACAGTTGGCATTGTTCTAGTCCTCATATGATTTCATATGCACAATTGCACAGCTATCTAATACATAACCTCGCTCTTTCTAACACTAATTTTCTTTCCTGACCATAGTCATACTAACAAAGTGAAAACATTTCGCTTCAATTATTCACTTCATCATTGACGCTCGGGCTGAAGATGACCAATAATGGTCGAAATCGATAGCCCCACCAGCAACTAAATAAACGTGTTTACAACCATTTCTCTTTACTCCTTCCTCAATATGCACAGCTGTTGTAAAATCTATTGGTATTAGTTACCCATACAATAACCAACTCAGTTAAATACCCCGGCATGGTTTCAGGTTACTTTTTACTCAGAACTGCGGTCGATGTAAAATTTTGTGGGAGGGAAATCTACGAAAATATATCTTTGTCCGTCCGTCTCTCCAACTAACCCTCTGACTATTGTTCGTCTAAATATTCCGCACCACCCGTGTTGCCTACCCACTAAGCGAGATGTGAACGGTCTACAAATCATTATCGTCCGGTTCAAAACACTTTTAAAGGGTATACAAGATCCAGGAAAAGTGTCTACAGCAGCAGCAGATGGGTCAACAGAGAAGAAACTGATGATTCACATTAAAACGGGAGCAGCTGGACGTATAATCAAGAAAGTCCAGCAGACGCACCAGAAAATAAGCGAGTCAGATATTAAAGACCACCAATACCACCAGGACAACTACACGGGGCAAATCTAGCAGGTGTACAACTAGGCTGTCGAGCTCCTCGAGCACTTGACCTAGGCGTAGAGGAAAAGGTCGATGAAAAAGGGGCCAAACAGCTTATACGGACTAAGAAAGAAGAGGTGTGTATCTACCAATTTGACACGCTTTTTACGCTTTTAAGATCACCCCAAAATATGAAGAAGACCATAAAGATGATTGGTCGAGCCGAAAAAAGGTGGGACGATGTAAAGAGTAAAGTAAAGAGGAAACAGAGGTCCAGACGTATGGAGGAAAATTCTCCTACGAGTATTTCACGGACAGGAAATACGAGGAGATCCAAGAACGCTATGAGAGGATTCGGGGACTAATCGATGTAGAAGAAGTGGAAGCACACACCAGCCCGAAAAAGGTAAAATTTCCAACAATACAAACTCACTTTTAGACAAGATCCTGGATTTCCCTTGAATCGAAAAAGAAAATGCGGAATTATTGAAACGGCTGACGGCTCCACGACACGAGTGTCTGAAAGCGATCAACAATTTAGAGCAAAACACGCCATCATGGCAACCAATAATAATTCCACTACGTTCCAGAAAGTGGGATGCAGAAACGAACAGGCTGTTCGAGCAATCATTAAAATAACTACAACCAGATTCCCTAGCTGCAGGACATGATGGATTTTATAAAAGTAGGAATGGGACAGGACAGAGGGAGTACCAAATACCGTATTTGAGCAGGACAACCTGGAAACAAGTCGGCAAAATAAGCTACCAACATCGGCCAAGCAAAAGGAGTGGAGAAAGTCTAAGACGTCCTGTTGGCAACCATCATTGTGCAGATACAAGACATCATGGGAGAGAGACACGTGATGAGTGTATTGGTGGACCCAGGATCCTAGGGCATCAGTCGCAGTCCTGTATAAAGTAGTGAACGTTTGAAAAGTACTCTTGTAACGGTCCCCATTTTAAAGCTTCACTTTTGGTGTCACTTTGTAACGGATGGTTACTTTACATATGGTTGAGGATCTTCTCGGGTTTGTCTCTCGTGATTCTTCTTATAATTTTTTCGCCTTGTTAGGTTTCTGAAGTACTTTTGGGACTTACCTTTTTGTGTACTTTTGCTTCCAGCTAGCTCAGGTGAATAATTGGTTTAAGAACAGGGAAGAATTCAATTAATTTCTCTTTCACTAATATCTCGTTAATATCAATCATTTATAATCAAAATTTGGAGAAAGATTCTGAATTTAATACTGCAATATGTCCATAGAATTTATGCCACTTTGATACAATGGTGTTTCTTTGAAATATAAAACTTTTTACCATTGGTGTCTTGTAGTTTTGCACTCTTGCTTCCAGGAATAAATTGTACTTACCTGATTTGAAATATGAAATTCTTCAGATCATTACCCTGGAGCACTCGCGGCATGAGCGTTTCTCTCACAGTTTTAGCAATTTGCCCATAATTTTGCCGCTGGTGCAGATATAGTCCTAGTGTCCCTTCTAGCTGAGTTTGTATATCTATGCTGTAGGATGATAATCTGTATTTGCATGCCGTTGACAACAATGCGTTAGTAGGTGATTGTTGTTGCATCGCTGCAGGTGTGCCGTGAGCAGTTTTCTCACTACGCGAGTGCCTTCGTAGGTTGTATTTTATGGTTACTATTTCAGTATAAGTGTAGGTGGCTTTTGGTATGTATGTCCCCAAGTTTACCGTAGACAGTGTCACTCCAGAATTTTCGCTTTTAGTAGAAAACATGAGTCGTGGAAGAATGCTTGCCGAATTGGGACGACTTGAATTCGAGCGGAAAAATTTTGCACCTCCCACGTGGACCACGCAAGAGGCACAATTAGAGGATTTGGAAGACGACCAAGACCGCTTGGACATCCTTAGTGACGCGGAGAGCGAGCACAGTGACCATGACACGGAATCGGAACAGTCGGATGATGAAGATTGTGATAATAGAGATCTTTGTTATGTCGGTAAGGACAATGCAACGCGTTGGATAGCTCATCCTCCTCGCCCTAACCGCCGAACAGCTAAACAAAATATAGTTATTCATTTACCTGGTGTAAAGGTAGTTGCAAAGAACGCAAAGTCAACAAGGGAATGTTGGGAGTTGTTTTTCCCACCGCAAACCGTAGAGCATGTTGTAAATTGTACAAACATCTACCTTGATAAACTACGGCCAAATTACCAGAGGGAGAGAGACTGTCGAAGGACAGATACTACAGAAATATATGCCCTATTTGGCCTTTTATATTTGGCCGGAGTCAAGAAGGCTCAGTATTTCAATACCAAGGAGCTATGGACAGACGATGGGACGGATCCAGAAATTTTTAGGCTGACGATGTCCAGGGAGAGGTTTCACCTATTACTGCGCTCATTACGGTTTGACGACATAAATGACAGAGAGAACAGGAAGCAGTTTGATAATTTGGCACCGATTCGTCTAGTATTTGAAGAATTTGTACAGAAGTGTCAAAATAATTACCAAATTGGAGAGTACTGCACAGTTGACGAAATGTTAGAGAGTTTTAGGGGACGCTGTAAATTTAGACAGTACATAGCGAACAAACCCGCAAAATACGGTTTAAAGATTTGGGCCTTGGTAGATTCCAAAATGTATTATACCCATAATTTGGAAGTCTATGCTGGAAAACAGCCCGATGGCCCATTCAAGCTAGACAACTCTGCAAGCGCCGTCGTAAAACGCATAACCCAACCAATTCTAAACACTGGAAGAAACGTCACGGTGGACAACTATTTTACGTCAATTCCTCTCGCGAAATATATGCTGCAGATGAGGACAACTATAGTTGGAACGGTAAGAAAGAATAAACGAGAGTTGCCAACTGTCTTTTTGAATACAAAGGATAGACCACTGCGGAGTACTATGTTTGCTTTCCACGACAAGATAGTCGTTGCCTCCTACACACCAAAGCGGGGAAAAAATGTTTTGACACTCTCTACATTTCATTCTGGCGATACAATCGATCCAGAATCCGGTGATTTATTGAAACCCGACATCATTACCTTTTATAATAAAACTAAGGGTGGAGTCGACGTTGTTGACGAGCTAAAAAGTCTGTACTTCTGTTGTAGATGGCCCTTGCGATTATTCTTTACCATTATGGATATTGGAGTTATTAACTCCCAAATAATATTCAAGAGTAACACAGAAATTATTCAGGATCGCAGAATATACCTAAAGGAATTGGCCCAAGAGCTGATAAAGCCGCATCTAGTATATCGTTCCACAATAAGATATTTGCCATTGGTACTTCGCAGACGAATAAAGCAGACCTTGAAGATACCTGAACCCGACCATGCATTAGCACACGAGACTCAAGGATTTT